GAGCTTCTTAATGTAGTTACTTATTTATTGTTGAGTTGGTGGAGGCTTTTTGGGATGTAAGGATGGTGTGGGTGTTATGTGAGTTATCCCTTATGTATAGTGATTGTGCTGTGAAAAAAAAAGAGTGTGTGTGTGTGTTTGTGTGTTGAAACTTGCTGTATTTGGAAAACTAGTGCCTCATGGTAAGGACTAGCCTGGCATAAGAGCTGTGAGTGGCTGCTGGGATGAGGGCAGGATTGATGCATTGCCCACTGCCCCTCAACACAGGAACATAAGACGAGCCTGCTGGATCAGACAGTGGTCCATCGAGTCCATTATTCCATTTTCATAGCATCCTGTCCTCAACCTTCCTTCCAAGTCCTCAGAAAGGAGCAGGTTCTGCTGTCCCTGGTGGGTAGAAATGGGAGAGAGATTAGATCACGTTAGCATTTACAGGTGAACCTATCAAGTTCACACTTTTCCAAAGCAATGCACGAACAGAAATACACCCACCTTCAAAGTTCAAACTTCTCCAAAATTTGCAGTGCAGTTGTCCAGCCAAGTAATGTGTACAAAAATGCATATGTTAATGATAAGTGTCCATTAAACTATAAGGAGCATCTCCACCCCCATAGTTCAACCTGGACACTGAGGTCCAGCACTGAGGGCCTTCTGGTGGTTCCCTCACTGTGAGAAGCCAGGTTACAGGGAACCAGGCAAAGGGCCTTCTCGGTAGTGGCGCCCACCCTGTGGAACACCCTCCCATCAGAGGTCAAAGAAATAAACAACTATCTGACATTTAGAAGACATCTGAAGCCAGCCCTGTTTAGGGAAGTTTTTAATGACTGATGTTTTAATGTATTTTTAATATTTTCTTGGAAGCTGCCCAGAGTGGCTGCGGAAACCCAGCCAGATGGGAGGGGTATTATTATTATTATTATTATTTAGTGAAAATAGCATACAAAATGCTTTACATTAGAGGAAATTGCTTTGTAAAAAAATTGTATATTTGGAGAAATGTGTATATTAGGGCTGATGTGCATACTGATGTGGAAGTGTGGAGAACTGAGCATGACATTGGAAAAATGAGAAAACAGATTTGACGAATTTGCCCATCCCTGGCCTGCACAGAGTCCTCCTCCACCACCGTGTGCCCAATTCTCCAATGATCCACCTCAATAACCTTACTCCTGGACATCTTAATCTATGCATGTCCACTGAGGTCTCCCTGTCTGTAGCATGAGACATCTTCCTTGGTAGATGGAGTATCTCCTTGAACAGTGCAACATCACTTTCCTAATCTTGAGTCAGATCATTAGCCAACTGGCTAACCAAGAACAGCGTGTGTGTGTTTGTGTGTGTGTAATCTGGTCAAAGTGCCATCTGATTAGACCCCTCCTGTATCAGGGAGTAGCAGTGAACAATACCAACACTCCAAGGCTGGCTTGGTGACACCCTTTTAATTTCCCGCAGAGCCCTTGAGTGCCTGATATAGCAAGCACCAGGGCAAGTGACCCAGCTGGCTGTCTTGGGGACTACAGGGCAAGTGTTAGCACTTGTGGATCTTGCTTGGGTCTTGGCAAGTGCCTGGGGATACTGTGTGCTGGTGTTGAGAACATGGGAGCATAAGAAGCTTCCTTATATTGAGTCAAACCATTGGTCCATCTAGCATTGGTCATTGGTGGTGACTGGCAGCAGCAGCTCTATGGGGTTTCAGAAAGGGCTTTCTCTTTTTTTAATAATTATATTTTATTGATTTTCCATACAATCATACCACATTACAATTTCTGTTGAACTTTTCAGTTTTTGACTTCCTTCGGCTTTTCTGCCAATCATTCAAATTTAATTTCTTTAAATACACATTTCCAAATTTTGATATTGCCTTTATACCTTCCCCCCTCTTATATTTTACTTTTTTACAATATTTCTTATTTTATTTTATCACAGAGCTTCTTTAAATGCCACTAACGTTATTTCATTATCACTTATACATTCCCAGTAATCTGTTATTTTTCCCCAGTCCTCGATGAATTTTTGATCTTGTTGATATCTAATCTTCCTGGTCAGTTTATCAAGTTCTGCATAGTCCATCAGCTTCGTTCTCCATTCCTCCAACGTTGGTAATTGTTCTTGTTTCCATTTCTGAGCCAATAATATTCTTGCTGCTGTTACTGCATATTGGAAGATTTTATGGTCTCTTCTATTTATTTCATTGCCTACAATTCCTAAGAGAAAAGCCTCTGGTTTCTTAACAAATGTATATTTCAACATTTTTTTCAATTCATTATATATCGACTCCCAAAAGCTTTTCACTTTCTTACATTCCCACCACAAATGAAAAAATGTACCATCTATTTCTTTACATTTCCAACACTTCTTACATGTTTTGTACATCTTTGCAAGTTTTACTGGTGTAATGTACCATCTATACATCATTTTCATAATATTTTCCTTTAATGCAGTACATGCAGTGAATTTAATACTTTCATTCCATAGTTTTATCCAATCATTAAATTGTATATTATGTCCAATATCTTTGGCCCATTTTATCATGATTTAACTTCTTCGTCTTTTGTATGCCATTCCAACAATATCTTATACATTTTGGATAGGATTTTATATTCACTATTTATTATATCTATTTGAAATTTAGAGTCCTTCTCTGCATATCCATATTCTTTAAAATCTTTTTTAAACATTTCGTTTAACTGAAGATAGTGCAACCAATCGTACACAAATTCTTTCACTTCTTCATATGGTTTCATTTTCCATTTCCCCCCTTCTTTCATAGTCAAATTTCCATATGTAATCCAATTCTTTCTCATATTAGTTTTTTTAACAGACATAACCTCTAATGGAGACAACCAGTGTGGAGTTTTTGGTTCGAGTAGATTTTTATACCTCTCCCATATTTCTATTAACGATCCTCGGAAAATGTGGTTTTCAAAACTTCTATGGATTTTCTTCTTTCCCACCCATAAATACGCGTGCCATCCAAATCTATTATCAAATCCTTCCAAATCTAACAATTCTGTATTTTCTAATTTTATCCATTCCTTTAACCAACAGAGACACGAGGCTTCATAGTACAGTTTAAAGTCTGGCAAGGCGAAGCCTCCTCTCAGAAAGGGCTTTCTCCTCCCTGGAGATGCCAGGGATTGAACCTGGCACATTCTGCATGCAAAGCAGATGCTCTGCCACTGAGCTATAAACCAGAGCCTGCTGGCCACACTGCTGTGAGACTGGAGGGTAGGCTTCCTTGCAGCTTCCTGGGCCACCCCAGTGGATGGATACATCAGCCAGTCTGATATCTGCTTCAGGAGAAAAACCCAAGCCCTGGTTTCCCATGGGCTGGTTGCTTTTATTACTGGGCCACCACATTTTAAGGAGGACATCTTAGGCTAGATGGCCTAAAAAGGTTCTTTTCAACTCTTTGATTCTATACTAATCAACAAAGCTCCAAGTTGCTTTAATTTATTGTACAAGAAAGAGAAGGGGCATTAGGAACCTTTTGTGTTTAATGATGCTTATTTGTTACATAAGTGAGAGAGAGCTCTTGTATATTCTGGGACACATCAAAAGCTTCAGTGTGTTGGAGTTGCTTGCTATTAAATGCCAGCAGATGCTAATGGAGTGTGAAGCTTTGCATAATGACAGCACTGAAAACAGAATCAGATGTTTTGCAGTCAAAGAAGGTGAATCAATGATCAGTAGGACGAGGGGGAAATGCCTAGCAGAAGCAACAAACACAGTTAAAAGCTGCAATGAGAAATCCGTTAATGCCCATTGATTTACATTTGTGAATTGCACAGACAAAAGTGAATTCCAGCCTGGTTGGAGATGGCAGCAGAGCTTGATTAAGAAGTGACCATCTTGGCAGCCCTGCAGATCTGCCAGAGATCTGTTTTTCCCCACAATAACACCCATCCCAGTTGAGACATCAAAAGCGGTGATTAGGAAATGCTGTAATTGGGGAGAAGTTCCCTCTTTGATGAAGAGGGCTAACTTAGATCTCCACTCAATATACAAGCATCTTTTTATAATTAGTGCAGTGACAAAACAGAACTAGGATAAAAGCATTTTTAAAGTTTGTGTACTCACATTATAATCCAGGAACGTCTTTCCCAACCTGGTGCCCTCTAGTTGTTATTAGGCGACTACTCCTATAAAGTGAGTTGTAGTCCAACATCTGGAGGGCATCAACATCTGGAGGGTAACATCTGGGGGAGGCTGGTCTAGGGTGGGCTCATCAGAATATGGGTTCACCAGGAGGAACTTCAGAACCCATGTGCAAGGCCATGACTGAGGCCTGTCAAGTAATAATAAAGAAGAGGATGACTCTGAGCATGTACAGAATTATATTCCCTCACTACTTAATAACCACAACTATCCCAAATATATGTAAGATTGGGATGGAGATTTCAAGATCAATGGATGCAGTGTCTAGCCTGGATTTATCCTAACTGGGGCCAAACCACTGAATACATTTGAGGAGAGAAGGACCAGGCTGCTATTTCAACAGTTTTTTGTGGGTGAGGGCATCTGTGAAAAGTCCACAGTAGATGCCCACGGTTCTGGAAAAAGAAATGGCATCCTTTGCTGCCCGCTGCCAGTTTTTACCAAGAATGCCCTGGGGACACACCACATTCTAAAAGATGGGAACAACAGGCATTAGGAGGACCACTGAATATGGTCAGCACTCCTGGGAGGGAAACCAATCTGCTCCTCCCTCACCCTAGTGGGGTGCAAAAATCTGCCCCAGATTCACTACCTGCAAACTGTGGGGAGTGGGTGGGTAATTTTTGGAGCCATTTTCAGTTCCACTCTCCCCCCAGCACAACCCGTTTTGGAAGTTAAATACTGGAATTCGGTCTTGGGCTATAAAGGAACTGGGTTCGTTTTACTCTCCACGTAGCTTAGCATTCTAAACTTCTGCTGTAGTTGTTGGTCTGCTCACTGTGTTGCTTCTCAAGGGACAAGATGGAAGCCTGCTAATTGCAAATGTCCCTCTGTGCCACCAGGAGGCAGACACAGATGACAACCAAGGAACTTTGGACTTTGAAGAGTTCTGCGCCTTCTATAAGATGATGTCGACCCGCCGGGACCTGTATCTTCTCATGCTCACCTACAGCAACCACAAGGACTATTTGGATGTGGATGATCTCAAACGCTTCCTTGAGACTGAGCAAAAGGTAAGCATTGGGGGTTCAGCATGACCCTGCCAAACCTATGTGTTGTCACATCCCAACTTCTCCCTGGCAGGAAGCTGGGATTTGGTGGGAAGCTTGTGCAATGGAAGCAAGAGCATCATGGCTCCTTTAACCTTAAGAAAAGGGACAGTGTTCACCCTTCGAAAGAGATTTCACATTTTCTGCTACAAAGTGAGCTTTGCAATGTCTGCTCTATTATTCTCAGTGTGATTTTTTAAACTTTATTTTTTGCCTCCATTAAAATACATATTGAACACCAAAGTCACCTATGAAGAGAAGGTCACCCCTGAAGATCTGGGAACTTGTCCATGCATTTGCAGACAAACATATAAATCATCTTGAGGGGTTTCTTTGGGGGGAAAAAAAACCCTCCACAAACAAATCCTTCCAATATTGATAGTCCCCAATAATGGCATGGATGTTTGAGGGAGGAATAAGGAATAACTTGGTTTCTTCAGGACCATGTAGCTTGTTCATTGAAACAAGAATAAAGCATACAAACAGTAGTCCTCTTCTCTTGCAAATAAGACAAATACCACTGTCCTACTCTCACCATGAATCCATGCTCACAAATTCCTGACGATGAAATACTTGTCTTTGGGTGGCCTTCTGTTCAGCTTGGTGTGGGCAGGCTAACACTGGGGCAAATGGAGGACCGACCCACAACCTCAGTGCTGGCTTTGGAATATAAAGCTTTATACAACTAGGGACCAGGATACCTGAAAGATCATCTCGCCCCTTATATAACCAAATCTATCAGTACGCTCTGCAGATGAGGGCCTTCTGCAGATGCCTTCTCACCAGAGAATATAGGAGAATATAGAATTCAGAATTTTACTGCTGTGGTACCTACTCTTTGTAATTGCTCCCGTTTAATATTAGACAGGTTCCATCTTTATTTGTCTTTTTAGCACTTGCTGAAGACCTTCCTTTCCCAACAAGTCTTCTAAGTAGAGATCTTACCGCATCAGCGTTGGAATTATTTTAAATATGTTTTATGGTTGTTGTTTTTTTTTAATGGCTTGTGTGTTTGCTGCCCTGTGCTCCTTTGAGAAGAAGGCAGGATAGAAGTTTAATAACTAAATACAATCATTATAGCTTACTTTTTGTGGGCTGCAGTCCACTTCATTAGTTAGTTACAGGTGTAGATTTATACACATGCCACAAAACCATATGGCATGGATTGTAAACAGTGAAGTCAGAGGAAGTTTTGTTGTTACCCAAATTCTGGGTATTTGCCCTCAAAGACAAAAAAGAAAAAAAGAAAAAAAAGAGCTCAGATTTTTAGTTTGGGCAGACTTTACCACACTCAGCAGTCTTCTCCAGAAGAGCTTTCATTCTGGACTGGAACCTAATGGCAAGTATGCTTCTTCTTAATGCTCTCATAAAAACCCAAATACATTTGCCAGCTTTTAATCCTGGCATTTAAAGGCACTTTTTGATAATACAACACTGAGTACCACCTAGCAGATCTGGCTTGCAGTTATTTATGCATTGCCAATTAAATGGCAGTCAACTAACATCACAGCTCTCTGTTGTAACGTTTTCACCGCACTATCAAATTTACGATTTTGTTTTCTGCATTACAAGAACTAAAAAACTAAAAAAAATATGCAAGGTCTTACACTTTTCTGCATTGCCGCATTTATATCTAGGCATGGTTGGATACTGATGAAAGGTGCCAGATCTTGTTTTCTAATGTTTGTGCAAAGCTCTCATAAAAAGCAAATAAACCTGCTGCTGTTTTTGCCTCTGGCAAAAATTAAGTGGCATATTCCCCCTACACAAAACCTTCCCTAGGCTTCTTGTGCCAGGTAAGTGCATAAATATGATTTCAATAGGAAGAATATTGGGTCTTTTGCTGCTTTATTGTAACATTGAGATTGGAGGCTGTGAATTCATTAACTTTGCATTGGTCTAAAAGCCAGGGGGGTTCCCCTCTCTAAACATGCACAGAACAATTCCAGCAAATTATCCATCTGAATTTAATAGTGGTGCCGGAAAATACTTCTTCTGCCCTACCTGCTGTAATTAATCTGAACAACTTGCTTAACCCCAAGATTTACATTTAAATGCCTGGAAACTGCGAAGCAATTATAGGCTTTCTCCAGCTAAGTTCTGTGCAGAGTAGGTCCGTTGAAATTAATGAACCTTATGCACGCATATCGATTAACTTCAAAGGGTCTTCTCTGAAAAGGACTGGAGTTGGATGCAACTGTTTGATAGCAGTGCCTCTGAGCATGTCCAGAAATCCTTTCTCTCACCACTGAATATACAGAGCTGAACCTGGCTTCAAAAGTCGAGCAGTGGAATCCCCCCCCCCCAATAATCCAGGTTTTCTGCCATTCCTCTGTGGTGCATTAGTGCCCTGCGTTGGGCAGTGGGGACACCTTGCTGTGAGTTTTCTTCTCCACTCTCTTCCTAAATCACTCTCCATCTGCTTTTTCATGGTCTGTTGGAGATTCTAAATGTGTCCTTTGCTCAGATGATAATCTTGTATTTGTGACTGCTGCCCTTCTAAACAAGTTAGCATTGGTTTCCGTGTCACTGGGCTATTGATCCCCCTAATGCTGAGAAGGGAGGGGGAATCGAATCTTGCTGCATGTTTGGGTCTGTGTAGATAATCATCAGGAGATACACCAGGTGCTTTTACTTCCTGCTTTCCACCTTTCTGAGGGACGGGCCCACCGAGTTTCTGCAGTCATGTGTGAACTAGTACAAAATGTCCCCTAGCCCTCTTTCCTTCCTTTAACCCCCCATTTGGGTCAGGTGAGTTATTGACTTTGTTCTGCTAACCCCACTATTCCTCACCTGCTCTTCTCTTTCTTGCTCCCCGTTCTCAGCCCCTCTACTGTGCTTCTTCCCCCACACCACATATTTTCACATCTAAAGGCTACAGAAATGCATAGGCAAATATATAAATGGTAAAGGTGAAGGTAAAGGGACCCCTGACCTTTAGGTCCAGTCATGGCCGACTCTGGGGTTGCGGCGCTCATCTCACTTTATTGGCCGAGGGAGCCGGCGTACAGCTTCTGGGTCATGTGGCCAGCATGACTAAGCCACCTCTGGTGAACCAGAGCAGTGCACGGAAATGCTGTTTACCTTCCCGCCGGAGCGGTACCTATTTATCTACTTGCACTTTGACGTGCTTTTGAACCGCTAGGTTGGCAGGAGCAGGGACTGAGCAACGGGAGCTCACCCCGTCATGGGGATTCAAACTGCCGACCTTCTGATTGGCAAGTCCTAGGCTCTGTGGTTTAATCCACAGTGCCATCTGCGTCCCTATATAAATATAAATGGTAGGGCTGGCTTAATGCATTTTGGCAGCTGAGGCGAACCACAAAATGGTACCCCCCTTCCCCATCAGGGAAGAAGGGATAAGTGAAGAATATATCAGCAACAATGGCCGGTGTCCATTGTGACTAGTAGGGCAGGAGGCAAGAAGGCCAACAGTAGGCAGAGCCAGAGCCAATGGCTGGTGGAACCAACTAACTCTTGCTCTGTGCCCATCCTCCTTCCTGCTAAGTCCTGCAAAAGCAACACTGGCGGTCAGTGAGGAGGAGGCTGGCATCTAGTGCCATCACCTGGACTGGCTGTAAGTAAGGAGAAAGGCAACTGGACGCTGGCTGAGAACCGAGTGAGTTTGGTGGAGCAGAGACACACCTGTCCTAATGGACCTGTGTCTCCACAGGGTAAATCTGTCCCTAGGCTGTACCACATCAGACTGCAACTGGTGTTGTACATTACTGAGTATTCTTCCAATCTGCCAAAATACAGGTGGGTGCCTGTTCCTTGGTTTGAATCGGTACCAGAGGACCCAGGCATACAGAATCACAAATTGTCTATCCTTGATGCATGGAGTGCTTGCTCAAACACAATCCATTCCCCCCCCAATAATATTTTTAAAAGCACTTTCAGTGCACAGTTTCCTAAGGACGCCTTACCCTAGCACCTAACAGACTCTGCCTGGGTTATTTTTCTGGAGATTACCAACTCTTCCTCTTGCTTTGTGTCTAGGAACATCTGCCACATGGACTAAATTTATTGACAAGCCAAAACTGGTCCGTGTCATCTTGCCATAGGAGCTGTCTATCACCAGGATGGGTCAATCAGCATTGTGTTACTTTCTGCCCCTGGGCACTAAGGCGCCACTTGGGATGGAAGTGGCCTAGAAAACCATGCTTTGCTTTCTGTGGAGGACAGCCTGGCAATCATTGACGGGATCGTAGCTTTCACCCTATCAAAGCTGACATTGATTGGCAGAAATGGGAATCTCACTGGCCGGTTGGAAAAGAGGCAATGGGGGGTGGGTGGGTGGAGATGTCACGCACAGCTAGAAAACCATCCAGTTGCAGAACTACTCAGAGAAAAGGAGAGTTGTTAAATGGAAGGATTTGTTGGCAATCTCTTATTTTGTGCAAAACAGCAGCAGCAAAAAACAACAACCTTCCCTTTTTGTTCTTAGATGATTAATGTGACCAAGGATCATTGCCTGGAGATTATCAATCAATTTGAACCATGTCCAGAGAACAAGGAACAAGGAGCTCTTGGAATTGACGGTAAGATTTCAGTTGCTTTTATAGGGAGAACTGAGCGATGTTACTGAATAAATGCCTTAACTGGATCCTGCCCGGGGTCATTTCCCACAAAGAATGGACGTTCCCTTCCCCCCTTGTACCTGCTGTGTTTTGCCTTTCTGTTAGTGTTTTCAGGGTGATGCTGTTGTCATTCATTTCTCATCTGCCCTTTCCGTAATGTACAAACCCAACATGGGACCAAGATCCTAGCAATGTTAAGAATAATTAGCTAACTAAAGAAGAAATCTTGTAAATAAAAAGCACTGCGCAGTTTGAAAACATCAGGGCACATGAAACGCTTCCCCTGCCAAACACGAAAATTTTCATCTTCTTTTGGAAGGTCACAAAAATTAAAGCAAGCTGAATGAAGCTCTTGAGGGGCTTCAACAGGAAAAGGGGTCTGATATTTGTAGCAACAGACTAATCTCTGAAGGTGGGGACACTTGATGGCAGCTGTAAAAGCATTGCTGGTTGTTGACAAAAGTCTGTTGTTTTATTTCTGTCTTGCATTTATACCCTATCCTCTGCTCACTATATTATCCTCACAAGAGCCCTGCAAGGTTAGGCTGAGAGATAGTGGCTGACACTACCAGTGAGCTTCATGACTGAGTGGGGTCTGCACCCTGGTCTCCAGGTCTTTTCCCAACACACACTCCTTGCTAAACCACACTTGACTAGATGGACAAAGGGATTCAGCTGTTATACTCACAAATAGGTAGAGCATGTGCATAGGGTTGAATGTGCTAGCTCTGGCCCCAGTTCCTACCCCCATTGTTCTTCCAGCAGAGTTGGGGTGTCCCCCACCACCCAAATGTTAACATATTAATAGCAATTCTGTTAGATTGGAATAATATCCCAGTTTGGGGACACTGAATTTCCCCGTAATATGGAAATATGGGAAATTGTGTAGCCCCAAAGAATAGACTTATTCCCAGTATTCTGGATTCTGGTCCTAATCAAAAACAGATATTTAAAAAGCTAAAACAAAATACATTATGGATGAGTTGACTATGAGTTGGCAGGAAGAGCAGAAGGTATCTGAATCCTATTTCAAGCTGATCAGGAAAGGGGGCGGGAATGGGGCACCCAGTCCAAAGTCCTCAAATTCAGACTCCAACCCCACTGCGGCATCAGACCATTATCCTGAATGGGAAGCCTTGGTTGGCACAAATCTTCCTGTGTGTTTGCCTTTGAACTCAACCACTCTGCCTGCTCTCTCTGCCTCCAGCTCAGTCCACACAGCATGTGTGTGGGAAGTTTTTTCCTAGGAAGTACACTAAGATGCTATTACTTAGCTTCTCTCAAAGCAAAGTTGCAAACTCTAGCTTCCTTAGGCTAGTAGAAGCCATCAAAGTTATTTTTGAGCTGGTGGGGAGTCGTCAATACTTGCGAATTGGGTCACTTTTTTGACTAGTAATATTTCTAACAACATATTTCTATGGCACACAAAAAAACCACACACCTCTGAATGGCACAGGAATAATTTGTTCCTGGAATGTCCCATTAATAGAACACAGGTCTTCCCTCCAAGAATGAGGAATGGGTTGATTCTGCCCTCCCTAGCTCTCTGTTACTGTAGCACAGAGGTTTTCAACCTTTTTGAGTCCATGGCTCCCTTGACCAGCTACATTCTTTCTGCGGCACCCTTGTAGGGCCCAGGAGCCCAGTTATGTCACCCCTTGCCTGCAGAGCGGACAGCCCCATACCCCTTTTCAAACACCCTCCCTTGTGGAGTGTTCCCTTGGCCTTCTCTCTTTTCCCCTCTCCTTGGGAGTCCTCTGGTCAGCCACTGCTGCCTCCCCTGGTCTCCGAGCTGCCCCCTCCTGCCCCAAAGAGAGTTGCCTCCTCACACTGCCCCACAGGGGCCTGGGAAGCACCCCCCGGCCAGCCTCAGAGGCACCATTCACTTGTAGCTGCAGGGCCTCTGCAGCAAACAGCTGTGCAAGCCTTTGGGAGGCAGAGACACGAGAGGGCATCAGAAGAAAGGAAGGAAGGAAAGAGGGACAGGGGCCAGTGTTGCCCGCTGCACCCCTGACCATCATTCAGGGCGCCCCTGGGTGCCATGGCACACTGGTTGAAAACCCCTGTTGTGGCAAGATCAAAACTGATCTTGTTCAGCTAACCTGTATTTGCTCAAACGCGACTTTCTGTTTGCTGCAAGATGTATTTGTAATTTGTGAGCCAATTCCTTTGCCTGCTGTCTCAGTGCGGTAGTGTCGATATTATTAGCTTTGGGAATAATGGTCATTAATGGATTTATTTGAACATCTTGTCAAGCTCAAAGCAAATAATTCTGCCGGATAGCCAGCTCGGGTGGTGAGCGCCGACAGACTTGGGGCCCCAGCTGGCTTCCTTGAGAAACCAAGAGAGGAAGGTGTCAGAACCCACCCTAAGGTTTTCTGAAGTACAAAAATATATTTTTAAAGAAAGGGTAAGGGACAGGGTCCCCCCCCCAGCTGGAACTCAGTTCTGGCACTTCTTGTGTGGGTGCCATTGCCATTCTAAGAGAACAAGGGAGGCGCTCATGTTGAGTTCCAGCATCTCTTTTTCTAGAAAAATAGCACTAGTGAGGGGAAAGGGTGGGAGAAAACAGCTAAATGAATATTGAGTGTGCTGAGCATCATTTGGGAAAGAGACCAGGCCCAGACAGGGGGGGGGGCATATGGGCCACTTGGCCCGGGCCTCCGATTCCAAAGCATATTCACAATATTCACAAATTATTTATATACTTACTTATTTATAAGACTTCAGTTATCCCCAGGGTAAAAAAAAAAGGGGGGCACATTATCTACCTGGCCTGGGCCTCTGCCTGGCTCTGCAAGGCCCTGAAAGAGATACAAAAGATGAAGGGAAGCCAGATGGAAATGCTTAGCTTGAAGTAAAGTGGCAGTTGTCTGAATGGGTCCCTGAACAGGAGCACTCCTGCTAGGATGGGGAAGGAGAACCTCAGGTCCAGGGGCCAGTTGTGCCCCCCCCCCGACCCTTGGGACTCTCCCTAGGCCACAACCCTTCTCCTTGGGTCACACTCCGCACCAGTCTTGCTTTGCACCTTCCTAGAGTGTTTTTGCCTGATTGGTATGTGTCCTTGAACTCTAATCATGCCCGTTGCTTCCTTGGATGGAGAGGAGAGGAGGGGTGTGCATGAGTTTGTGTCGTAATCCGCCTGGTGTACAATAGCCGCATACATTGTTCCAGCCACTTCTGTCTCTGTCCTTGTCCACCACTGGCAAGTGAGCCCCGGGAAGCCTGTCCAAAAGGTGTGTGGCCCCCATCTCTGTGCTAGGAGGTGGGGATACAACTGTGTGTTTTGTTGCCGTTCTCATTTGTTTGCTCTGTTAGGCGTTTAACCACTGAAGTTTCTCCATCAGTTTGGAATTGAAGTGGGACTACTTAATAATGAAGGGGAACTTTCTGCATAGTTTTCCAAATATGTGATACTAGATAAATTGGCAAATTTAAAAGAAGGGAAAGGGCATGGATCCAGATGGTGCTGGACTCCAGTTCCCATCAGCCCCAGGTCAGAGATGATGGGAGTTGTAGTCCAATGAAAGAAACTAGGAATTGGAGAGGCTGTGTCAGTCTGTCAACTAAATTTATGATTGAGAATAGCCAAGAAGTTGAATGTTAAGAGGTCATTTTTGCAGGGGGCAGGGAGCACTAGACGACAAGAAGTATCTGGAAGTGGTGCCTGTATGTGTTATGTTTAGATGTGTGCTGTGAGGTCGAATAAGCAAATTTCCCCCTTCACTTTACAGGAAAGGATAAAGAATTGTGTGCTGCCTCCATCCCCATTCTGTAAAATGCTGAGGTTTGGATATGGAAACCTCTGCTTAATTATCTATTTTGTTACTTTATTTTATTCCACTTGCTTATCTAAAGCATTTTATCCCACTCTTCAGCCCAAAGAGGCTTCCAGGGCAGCTGACATATGATAAGTCATAGCAAGACTTACAGTTGCAAAGGCATGGCACAAAAGGAAAAGGGAATGGAGAAGGAGGAGGAAAAACAAACAAAACCAGGCACCGGTTTTTAAAGCTACATAGTAGCATGGTTATTGTTCGTGTGGAAATGGAGGAGGAAGAACACTTCTACTGTAAATGAGCAGTCTGACCAATGCAGGTTTAAGGCTTATGGATGGAAAATGCCGATTGTCGTAAATAATCAAAGTAAAGCTGTCACTTTAACAAGCAGACATAAAATATTGATGGGGTGGGGGAGCAAATATTACTGCAGCGCCATCAGATGTGCATTCCTCGACCTTTTATTTTATGATATGTGTTCTGACATGTGAGCAATATCTCCCCACGTTGTCACCAACTCCTGCAAACATCCAGCTTTTTCTCAGGAACTGCCACATTCTTTAAAGTATTGATTTCATGCAACTGGATTAAGTCAGAGTCAGACTTGAAAAATGATCGTGCCTTGTTTATACAGAGAAGAAGTCAGAGAAGGGGGTGATAAATGAAAGCTGTGGGTCCAAAGCTGGCCAATCCCTTCCTGCCCCTCCACACCCAGCCTGGACGCCAAGGGAACTTGAATTGGCCCAACAATTCCCCTCTCCTTCCTTCTGGGGGTGTCTGATAATGTTGCCACACCGATAGATATACAGGGCGTGTGCCCACCATCCATTTAAAGTGAGTTTAAAAATCACATGACTTTGCCCAAAGGATCAGGGGAACTGTAGTGTATTAAGGGTGCTGTGAATTGAGGGGTGAACTACAGTTCCCAGGATTCTTTGAGGGAAATCATGCATTTTAAATGGATGGTGTGCACACAGCCACAAAGTGAGATCTGCATCAAAATATTGCAGCGTAACTTCCTCCCTAACCGGAATCCCGCACTTCAGGATTTCAGCTAGTCATGCTCTCTTCCAGGACACTATAAACTGTAAGGGGCCGAAGCAGAATATCCCTCTTCCCACCCCTGCACCCCACCCCAGTTTTCAATTTATTTATTTCCAGTGGGAAAGCTGAGAAGCAGAG